CTCAACCAACACACACACACACGCAGAGACGTAAATATCACAAAGTATCTATGTATCTATGTATCTTTAGTGAGGATTTCCCCCGCGAAAGTCTACGGCACTCCAAATGTCTTTAATGTTAATTAGTTTGTAGTCTCTCGGCAATACTGTTAACAAGTATCAATATATCTATCGGGAAAACAGAAAACAGCAAAGGCAAACCTTAAAAATGTGTAAAGCAAATTCAACTAGTCAAATTTTATAAATCTAAGTTAAAGTACTAACCCCAAATACACTCAACAATAAGAGCAGCAACCAGAAAGCGAGCAACAAGGTCTTTGCCACTCAATAAAAAAAACGTTTTTCGAGAAGTAAGTTGATTGATTTGGCTGGAAATATTGATTGTATCTATATATATCGGAGTTATTATTACCACTATCATTAGTTTATGGATGTGCCCTAAGATCCCCGATCAATATACAATATATATATTCTAATATATACTATAGTTTTATATGTGTCTATATACATACGCTACCACATAAATCTATAATCGAGTGTACGAGTTACCTATAGAAGGGCGGCCGAAACGGATCGGAAAGAACACACACAGAAACTAACCAATGTCAAGGGGTATAAATAGAGGAGAGCTGTAACTCGGATATATTCGAAGCATCAAGCAAAACGCAATAAAAGTACATATTATGCGAAATGAGATAAAATATAAAACAAAAATTATGGTTTTTAATTAAAGATCTTGGGGATATATGGGGTATAGAGCGGATTTCTTCTATTAAAAGGTATAATTGGGGGCCTACATCATGAAGTTGCCTCAATCATAAGGATAATTGCTCTGATTGTAGGAGAAAACCAAGAGAATAAGCTAAATTAAATTAATTGAATTAATTTTTCAAAAATTTCAAATATTTTCTCTTCACAGAAAAGTGCAAAAAATTATTTTTATTTTCGGTTTTTAAATCTACGTTTGATTTTCTCAGTGTAAAGCAAGCAGTTGGAATAAGCAGTTCGACCATGTAAAATTAGCGACATCTGTTGTTGAATGTATTTTAAAGAAACGGGGTATAGTTACTGTTGCCAAACATAGAAGGCGTGTGACAATCAAAACTGCCGTCACAGGTGGCGCCTATATGTTCTTAATAATACACTAATAAAAAAAATATTAATTTTAAAATGTAAAATATAAGGAATATGATATGAATTATAATTTTTTTTTTTTTTTTTTTTTGTATTCTTAAAATGATTCAATAATTTTTGAATAATATTTAGATTTGCATATTTTCTTACGATATCCCATAAAAAATACATATAATTTACAGTCCAAGAATTTTTATTTAAGCAAAATTCCCTAGAACTCATACCCCATGCACATACTTTAAAATAATTAATAATTTTATTATGTTGCACCTGACCAAGCTCCGACCGAGCTCGTTTTCGATTAGCATTTGGAGCAACCAGTTCCGTTAGAGCCCATTAGCCATGGCTATCACATTTGCAGCCGTCGCCAGTAATACCCAACTTATTGGAGCCTTGTTTGCTCTCTAATTGACTGCCGCCCAAGCGAGCGAGCGAGGCGTCGACTAATAAATTGACGGCACACGGGAGGGAAACGCCACACCGGGAAAGCCCACCTCCAAGCCTCTCCCCGCACTCTCGTTGCTTTTTACACATGTCGCGGGACAAACGGTCGCTAATTGTGCCCAGGCAGCCGGCCCGAAAAACTTTGTATAACGAAAAAAAACTGAATCTGAAAAACTGACCCCGAAAAAAGCGCCGTACGAGGAGGCGCACTTGCAATCACACTCCCTTTTGTACCGCGCGCTCATGCGACAGACATTAAAAGTCCATTAAAAAATTATGTTCACCCATGGCGTGCCGGGCTCCTGTTGGGGCGTTTGCTCGATTGTGTGCTTGGAGAGGAGAGAGAAAGAGACTCCAGCTCCAGACCATGGGCGAAGGCAATTTTGGGCACTTGGAAAAATAATTAATAAAAGTGCACAAAAATTTAACAAAATTGACACAAAAATGAGATAGATATTCGTACTAAAAATAGTTTCAGAACTAAAACGTAAATAATAATTCTTAAGTTAAATTAATTAAAGACCAACCAAAAAGAGATTTTAAATCATTTAATGAGCTGCACAAAAGTAGGCGAAAGAAATTCCAGGCATAAAATTTATTCTAGAATTGATTGTAGTATACTTTTTGGCAGCATATTCAGTGATTTTTAAACCGCAGCTCTTTCTGTGGTAACTCTGATAAATAAAAACCTAAAAATAAAATAGGAAATTAACCGAAAATCTTGGATATTTAAAACGCAAGAATGCTTCGAAAATATAAGAATTTCATAAAGTCCCTCCCCCTTTTCGCTCAGTGTACAGGCTGGCGACCTTAATGGCCCAGTTGCGACTATATTTAGAGTGCAAGAAACTACTGCTGGCAGCAACAGTCAGGCAAAGGCATAATTGTAATTGCAAATTGCATATTGCAATGTTGTGCCCACATGCAGTGACATCGATTGCCGGGCCTGCCAGCCAGCCAGCCTTTGCCTGGCAATGCAAATGTCCAACGTATTGATTGCATTAATTAATTAATTTGTGACTTAATTTCATGGGCTTGCGGCAATCAGCGCGCTGTGCACGCACCGCTGCCAAAATGTATTAATATTGCAGGCCAGAAAAAGAGAGACGCGGCGCGACACGTGTGTGTGTTTGTGTTTGCCTTGTTATTAATTGAAATTTAATGGCACAAAATATTTTTATTTATTTATTCGCCAATGCAATTGCATTTATGCGCACTTCCGTCGCGTCGCCCCCACACACACACGCAATTGCACCGGCAATTGCAATTGCAACTGCAACTGCAACAGCACTTCCACTGCCACTGCAATTCGCAGCAAAGAACGCACCGCCGCCGCACCGTCAACATCCCATCGATGGCACCACCGCCGACGGCGCACGGCGGCTGGCATTTAACATCAAAAGCCCTGCCCAGACCAGACCAGGCCAGGCCGGGCCAGGCCAGACCAGACACGCCTCCCTGCCACCCTCCCTCCGGGGCTATATTCAACGAGCTTGTAATTGATTTCACTTAAAAATTAAATAATGCATGCGGTTTTTACTGTAAAATGGATTTTCCAAATGCTTCTCTGGCACGTTTCTTTCTATCTTTCGCACCCACTCTTCAGCGTTTCAGTGTTAAATTAAATATGAAAATAAATATCAACATAATTGAAATGGCAAGAGCAAAAGGAGGGGGAAATAATATAACGGAAAAAAGCAGGGAGAAATAAAAAAAAAAAAAAGTGAAACAGAAAAATCAGCAGCAACGGCAGTCGACACTGTGCAGCTGGGCGACGTAATTGATGAAATTATTTAAGAATTATTTCACAAATGCGGCGTGACAATTATGCGGGACTATAGCCCAGATCATGAACTGAATGCACTGAGAGAAAAGTTTACTAATGAGAATAAACTATATTATTTAGGGGGAATTAAAAATACAGTGAGGGATTCAAGGACATAAAGTTAATACTAGTAAAATTTTAATTAATAAGCCAGGTTTTCTTAAGATAAATTTAAATTATTAATTATTTTAATTATATATAATCTTCCCCAGAAAATATAATTTATTATTTTTAAAATATAACTTTTTGGTTTAAAAATTAAATTATTCTGATGCTTTTGAAATTACTGTGGTTCTTAAAACCCCTAAAGAAGTGTCTAAAAGTATGCAATAAAATTTTGGTTTTATAAAGATGCAGTGTTATATTGTTTTTGAACGATTTTAAATGTTTTATGAATTATAAATTGTATTGTTTTTTAAATCACCCTGCAACAATACAATATTAATCAAAAAATGTAAAGAATGGGAATCAATTATTTTATAATAAATTTAAAATAACACCATAAAATTTCTCTCTATGTACGCACACATAAAAATGAGTCAATAATAAAGCAGAAATTGTATTTAAACGCAGCCTGTAATTAATTATCTGCATTGGCATCCACCACCCCAACCTACCTCCCTCCACAGCGAAGTTCTGTGTTGATCGCATGCCAAACAGTGCCCACAATAAATTAATGAACCGAAAAACAATTATCATAAATAGCAGCGGCAACTTTTGCCATGAACTGATTTACAATTCTATGTAAGTATATGTTGCCGTTGCGCGAATACATTGTGAAATATTTAACATATTGCAATTACAACTGGTGGATAAATACATACAAGTGACTTATCAGCTCAAAGCGCCTGAAGTTTTTCCTTTTAATTTGGATTTATGTATACATAACTGCTGACACTTCCAAACAGGGCTAAAATTCAGGAGAATTTATAAATCCAATGGTAACTGAAGCCATATTTTTTACTTAATTAATAAATTAAATAAATGTGAATTTATTTTTTGTGTTTATTCTTGACTTAATATCAATACACACAGCCAAAAGAAGTTTATAAATTGTGGGAATTAGTTTGAATAGAATACTAAATGTAAAATGTAATAAAATATGTTATTAATCCTTTTTTATTTTGCTTTTTTTATATCTTTATAATTAAATAAAAATTTTGTTGTAATATTTATTTCCCGAAAACACCACTTATTAGTCTGTAAATCCCTTACCATTTACTACGAATTTCCCTGGCGACACCAGAACCCAGAAAAAAAGCTGAGAAAAGGCAACAGAAACGACGGCAATTAAAATGTGAAAACGCAAATTGCGCTTTATTTCCAGATTCCCAGGGACCTGCTCGGCAAATGTTTGTTTCGTTTGCTAATTTCGCCTTAAAAGCTCTCCGTTTCAAGTGTCTGCATATGGCGAAAAGAGGAGATTCCAAATGCTAAATGGGAACTGAGAACTGCCGGCTAATCAGCGGCACGTCAAACGCCTACGCAAGAATGCGTTCGTGGAAAAGGCGCAGGAAAATGGAAAAGCTTGCCAGACTTAGCAGACAAAAACGTTCGTTTATGATATTGAAAACTATAGTTCTACTGGTTCCTTGACTTTTTCATTGGCATTACAGTATTTTCTTTATATTTAAACTTATACAGAAACCCAAAAGAATAAAGTTTAAGTAAACAAATTAACAAAATTGATTTTGAATAAATAAATCACAATTTGCGCTTGGTCCTTCCCTTCGAAGGTGCTGCTTGGGGCGTGGATGTGGCCTGGGCCTCTGATAATTTCCCAACATCCGCCTTATCTAGGCTGGACACAGTCTTGGCAGCCACTAGTTTCTTGACCGCCTTCACTTTCGGCACGGTGGTTTTGGTTTGAGCCAGGGTTCCTATAGATTTACGCGGCTTTTTGGACTTTCCCGCCTCGGAAGAGTTTGCCTTGGCCTTGGCCTTGGCCGCCTTTTTTACTGGCATTTCATCGTTAGTTGGTGTATCCAGCAGAGCTCTGGCGGCAACCGAGGCGGCAGTCTTAGCCTTTGGTGGAACATCTTTGGTACCATTCTCGGTTTTCTTCTTTTTGGTGGCCTGTAGAGAGAGAAAGTTATCCGTGTTTATGGGAAATCGCTAAAAACTCTGTTAAAATGTAGCCCTACCTGGTTGGTTTTCCTCTCAGATGGCTTGCCTGGCTTTTCCTTTTTGGCTGCCGCTTTTGCCTCACCCTTTACAGCCTTCTTAGCCGTCTTCTTTTTCATGGCCTTCTTCTTTTCTTTCTCCTGGGCCTTGGATTTCTTTAGCTTCTCTTTTTGCTTTTCCTTGGCCTGCTTCATTTTCTCAATGCTGGCCGTCTTTGTGGCTTGGGTCACCTTATAGGATAGCTTCACCATCTCCAGTTTGCCAGTGGCCACGCCCATCTTGAGAGCTCTGCTCATTGTCCGTATTTGGCGCTTCTCATCCTCCCAGGGATAACCATTTTCCCTTAGATACTTCATTATGGCCCTTAACGATGATCCCGAACGATCCTTAAGATTTTCGATTGCCATTATGGCCAAGTCGATGAAGGGTAACTTCTTTTTCGTAACCTCTGACTTTACTTTTTTCTGGGATTTAACGAGAAGATCGAGCGGCGCCATTTTGGATCCATCATCGGGCGGCGGAGTGGGATAGGGATGCCGATCGGATGCCTTATCACCATCTAGTGAATCCTCGGATGCAGAGTTTTCCTCAGCCTCCATCTCCTTGTCCTTCTCCATCTCCTCTTCCTCCTCCTCCTCCTCCTCTTGACTCAGCTCCTCATCTTCTTCGGAAGCAGCTGGCGATGCAGCTTCCTCATCCTCGGACATATCCTCGTCCTCAGATTGTTGATTTTTTACCGGCTTCATTTTATTCTTATTTATATAAAACTTGCACAAATATATATATATTACTTAACAACACCAAGACAATTTATATCAAGTTTACGTAAAGAAAAACGAAAATTATAAAACACAACTTGACTGCAGACTTTGAAGAGTTTGAATAAATTTGAGAGATTAGAAAAGGCAGCGGTCAAAGCTCTACTAAGGAACGGTAAACCAAAACCCTATACAGATTATAGATAAAGATAAAGCAGTATAAAAAGAAAACCAAAAATGGAGTAGGGACAATAAATAGAGATAAATAAAGCTTTGGAATCAAATTAGAGTAGAGAATGTTAAGTACAGTGAAAGTTGCATGGAAATAATTTACAAATTGAACTAAAAATATACATGAAAAATAAGTATTCTTCGATCTAAAAAATATAAGCTGTTGTAAAAATGTAATTTTATGTTTTTAAAATATACCTTTGATCCTTTCAAAAACATAAATATATAAAAATATACAAAATTGTTTGAAAAAAATGTATGTTTTGCTAACTTACAATAATATATTTATATTCATTTCTTCAACTTAACTCTCAATTTTAATAAATATTATGGCAAAAAGAGAATTCCAAATGCTAAATGCTAAATGGGAATTGAGAACTGCCGGCTAATCAGCGGCACATCAAACGCCTACGCAAGAATGCGCTCGCGGAAAAGGCGCAGAAAAAGCGAAACTGGATACAGGAGAGCCGAGACCTGGGGAAGAGAGGACAGAAGACGGAGGAGGAATGAAGCTTTGGAAGATGCAGAGATGGCAAAAGACGATGACAGGGCAGGGCCAGGCAGGCCACCAATGGAGGCAATCGACAACTGAGGCGGTCCAAAGGGGGCTAAAAAGTTGGCGTTGCGACAAATTTCTATACCGTGTAAAAGGAGGATTCATGGGGTATATTAGCGGTATTAAATATATATTAAATAATTAATATTTCATAAAAATCTTTATAAAAAAGGAATTAAGTTAAGGAAATAAAATGTCATTAAAAAAATATCAGAACTTAGAGAAATTTTTAATTGAATTAAATACGATGAAAAGACGACAATAAAATTTAAGATAATATTTTTAAAATAGTTATTTCGTTAACAATAATAAAAAATAAGTGTTAATAAATATAAGAAATATTAAATAGTTTCCTAAAGTCTTCCCAACATAAAAATGATACCCAAAAACCTCATTAATTTTTATTGTAGGGCATTTTAAGAGGAATATATTCAGTTGCTTATGAAGGATAAACCTTTAGTCTATACAAATTCATTAAATAAGACGCGATACTCAATCTTACTTTTATACTCCACCAAGTGCCCCCACTCCCTTGCCAGCTCTTCTGCTGCATCTCCCTCGCGGCCTTCACTTTGTTTGTCGTTGCCCCGTTTTGCGTGCGCACTTTTAATTGCAATTGAATTTTAATTACTGCGTTGTCAGCAAAGAATGTTGCAGCCAGCCGTTTAAGTGCCGACAGGCAGTGCGAGAAACAGCGGGTCAGAAGAGGGACAATGGGACCGAGAGACCATCATCAGACCAGGAGCAACAGGAGGAGCAGCAGCAGCAACTTAGCCCGTCGGCAACAATTGCTGTCTGGTTAGTAGCGGCAATTGCATACACGCCAAATAAAATTGTTTATAAGGCCAAGAAAATGTTAACAAATGAAGTAAGAAATTTTCCTTACAAAAATAAACAGTTTAAGAATAATTTTTACCCTATATAAGGGCTTAAAAATGGCTTTAATTACTCTTAAAAATTATTAAAAATCACAAACTTTGTTGAATTATTTTCCCAAGTGCACCCTAAGGATGGAATCAACTGCTAACTGCTCCTGTGCCCCGCTCCTTTGACTTATTTACAGCTTTTGTGTCTTCGACAGAGTGAAAGAACGAGAGGCCAGCAGCAATTAAATGAACGACACAGCCGACGGCAGTTGATGTTCCAAGAGTTGCGTCCGCTTTCGCGTTCGCGTTTCGGCTTCGCCCTTCATTAATCAGCAGCAATATAAATGTGATGATCCGATAACGTTTATCGACTGCTGATGACTCTATTTACTGTCCCCTCGCTCCCGAGTCTAGATAACCTAATGAAGCAGCCCCGCCCACCCACTGCCCTGTCCCCATCTGCAATTAGGAATGTCTGGGCCTTTTTGATTGAGTCGCAAGACGCCGACTCTGATGGGCTCTTGTCTGGACGGCGCTCAGATAATTTATAATTTAGCCAAGATGCGAGATTCTTTCAAACGCTTTTATAATTGATTTAAGATTTATCAGACGGGTTAATGGGTAGTTAAACAGGCTGCGAGTAATCGATACCCTTGATAAAGAGGCCTTTCTGTTTGGATTTTCGAACCAGTAGTGGCCATAAAACCTAATGGGGAAGCTAATCGGTTTGTTTTTAGTTTCATTTAAAAAAGTTTCCATTGGTAAATATGTTTTATTATCAATTAAACTCTTTGTTAATTCATCTATAACCAAACTTTTAAAAAAAATCCTTCTTTTTATAATTTAAATAATCAATTCAATGAATAAATACCAAATATATTTTTTAAAATCACTAAAAATATGACATATTTTCCATTTTCCCAGCAGGTGCACATAAAATGATCACACTTACTACACACACAACCCCAAAAAAAAAAAAAAACATTATAACAAAAACAAAAAATATATAATCTGGTGACTGCGGGTGACATTTCCCTTTTTTTTCTTCCCCCTCGAGGGCCACAGCGAGCAACTTCACCAATCAACGGCGAAAATAACAAAATGTCAAACAGAACGCATGCAACAATTTATTTAAATACCTCAACCTCATCAAATTTAAGTTAACACACCCCAAGCATCGCCATCGCCAACGCCATCAAGCATTACGACAGACGACGGCGGCGACGACGACACAGCCAGAGTCAGAGCGAAATGAAAATGAAAATGAAAATGAAAATTCAATTTTCCACCTAAACGCAGACACCGCATCAATTTTGAAAATGCTTTTGCCCGGCAATGAAAACGATTTGTTGTGTTTGACGAAGAGCCAGCAGCCAGGCACAGCGATAGTAGGGTGGCCAAACGGGGGAAAATCGTATGCCAACGGGGGGAAAAAGCGGAAAAGCCACGCAAGTGGAGCCCCAGACAGAGAGCGGCACTCAAATCGGCAGCCAAGAAGTCAACACGGAACGTCGTTTTCGATGTCGATGCTAAAGAGATGCAGGCGGTTCCTCCGAGCAGCAGAAGAATGACGACGACCAAGAGAAACTGACAGGACACTGAAAGGAAAATTACTAGGGGGAAAATTAAAGGATAACCCAAGCAATGAATGTTTTTCTAAAAACAAAGGAGGTAGGAAAATTCTTAAACCCTATAATATCTATACACTTTATGTATCTTAATTGTAATTTTGTAATAAACTCTACTTTTCCTCGCCGTGTAGCAATTTCGACTCGGCAAAGGAGTAGCACTGTGGGTGTGGGCACTGGCAATGGGGATATGTGGAGTGGATATGACCCGCCGATCCAAACTGCAGACAATTAAAATAGCTCTATGGTATGTGTGAGTGCGTCAAGGCGCCCACACAAAACCATATCTTGGTGTATATCTTCGATAATCTTGGCGTGTTGATTTATGCAACAGTTTCCAATGTTTTGATCGATCATTCTTCCCAGTCTCAATACCAATCTCAACCCGCTCTCGCTCCGACTGTATTAAAAACATTTAATTAGCTTTTATTGACCATTAAGATTCCAATCGTGGCTGGAACAGTAGCAGGCCACAGCATGGAATACACCCACCGCCGCTTTCTACAACACTTATTTATACACTTTTAGCTTTATTACTTTACTTTATATTTTATGGCTGGGGCAGCAGCGAAATATTTATGATATTTATGTTACAACAAAAGAGCAAAAGTGAGCCAGCGAACGTGAAACGAAATTCTTTTTTTCTTTTCTTTTGACTAAAATCGAAATAAAAACATACAAATTAATTAAAGTCAATAAAGTAAATTAAATGTGGCCCAGGGTCTCGGACCCCTTTTAATGGGGCGGCGCCCACAGTCGTCTTCTCTTCTCTTCTCGGTTGGTTTATGGCCGAAAAACTCCGGCTAGGAGCCTCCTCTGCCCTGTGAGCGATCATCATCATCATTGTGGCAGACTGGCATGCACTTCGCTGCCAATTTAATGGCGTTTTTACAACTTGAAAGATTCGTGCCTGCCACGCCGTTTTGAGCGATGATGTTTTTCGGGCATGGGGAGAAATATAGGAATGCCTTCTGTTGGGTGCTGCTGCTGGGCTCCCTCGCTAAACGCACAAGAAATGCAGCGCAGCGAATGTCATTAGAACATAAAAATGATATTAATTGCATGCGAGAGTGCAGGCAGGCAGGCAACCCAGGGGCCAAGGCATGGAGATGGAACTGTAAATGAGGATGAGCAGGGAATGCTTCTCCTCGAGGCAGTGCCACATGGCAAACGCAATAGAAACGTCAGTGTTATGATGATGGAATATTATGGTGCTCTTGCGAGGTGTTGCGACACCGAGAGCCCTTGGGTTTTTGGGTTATTTGGGAGAGCAAGAACGATCCACTTAAGAAGAGAGCGAAAAACAATAAAAATGTAAAGGCAAACTGATGGATATCACACTCTAACAGTGGCTGCTGTATGTATAATTATATCAAAAAATAAAAGAGATTCTAATACTCAAAATTTATAAACTTTAAGAGGTTTGTAGTACAGTATTCTTATAAAATTCAATATCCGATATTTTCAATAATTATTCCATAATTTTCAAGATTTATTTCCATCCCATATTAAAAATTCCTTCCAATTCCCTACCTATCTATCTTGAGTGATCCACAAAAATCCATAAAGTGCCCAGAGAGTCAAAGTGATCCACTTACGTCTCTGTATTTTGTATGGCGCTCTTTAATGGCAACGCCTGCCAGAGCGATCCCATAGCGCTGATAAATAATAAAAATTAAAAATAAATTAACACCTAGTAAAGATGCATTGGACTGGGGCGACTGGTTCTCCAACTGTGTCCCTGCTTCTGTCATTACTTGGGTACGGGAATGAGGGGGGAGACCTGGTTTCGAATGTTGTGCCGGCCCGCAGACAGCTTAAAAATAGCGCAAAAGTAATTAAAAACGAAAATATAAAAGCAAGAGACAAACGCACACACACACAACACACGCACACCCAACCCGTATCCCCACCAAACAACAGACGAAAAAAAAAAAGGAAAATAAATAAAAATTATGCTCGCCTATATTGAATTTAACAAGCGCAACGCCGCTGCTGCAGGCAGAGATCAAAGGAGGCAGGAGAGCTCCGGGATGCTGGGGATTCCGGATGGGATGCCGATGCCTGAAAGTGTTGCCCTGCCCCGATAATGATGATGCTAATGCAGTTGACATTTTATGTGGCCATAGAATGCCGGGCATGGCCGATAATTAAATGCAATAATAATTCAATTTAATTAGCTGGCAGCTGGCTGGCTGGCTGGCCTGCTCCCTGTCGTCGTCGTCATCATCGTCGTCGAGGCCCAAGGGGAGTATTTAAATATTGATGGATTGATTAGCATAATATTTGGTTTATGATTTCACATTGTTTGGGGATTTGGTTTAACGGCACCAGCAGCAGCTAATTGAAACACCTTAAAAGAGGTCATTAGTTATACAACATCTGTCACGGCCGATGATTATTTATACAGTAGTGTGTTTATTTGAGAATCAAAACTAAGAGAGTTGTGTGTTTGCCTTGGCATTATTTGATTAAATTATTGGAGGTATTGATAGATAGAACAGACTGTATAATAGACTAAATAATAAACAGAACATACATACAATTGAAGCCTAACTACAATTTACTTCAAGTTATTATCTTCTCTCTAATGCTTTAAGTTTTAACAGTTAATCATAACTATCTTAAATATTTCCCACAAAAACACTTATATATTCACCGAACTCTAAAAAATTGTTAGTTACTTACTACAAACTATCTTACATTGGCTGATAAATCCGATTTGGTGTGAGCTTTTAATAAGCCACACACAAACACAACCTTCTTTATGCATATGTATGTATGTATCCTTAGCCAGAAGCTTTCACGGACACAATGGCCATGCTGGAGATATTTCATTGAATCAATTAACGCTGGACATGGCATTATAATTACTGTCTGCTGGCAGACACAACCAAAAACGCACACCTCCCTCCAGGACACGCACACACACAGGACCCCCATCATCCACCCACACACAAGCAAGGTCGCCCCGAAGCGACGGAGCAGCAGGGACATGTTCATTTCTTCATTGATAACCCGTAGAAGGGAAGCGAACGGTGAGAAACGAGAAGTGAAGCTCATCCTGGCCTCGTTGCTTAACCAACTGTAACAATCCTGAGCTGAAGGAGAGCGACCGAGAGGCCCACAGCAGAAAGAGAGATAGACAGATGGGTGGAAAGAGAGATGGCCAGAGAGAACTTACGCAAACAGAAGTCGAAGGATGCAGCTCACACACTGAGAGAAAAACAACAACTAATGAATTAGATAATATTACATTTTTTAAATTTATTATTAATTTTATTAATACAATTTGAAACCTATTTAGATATCCTATTAAAATATTATATTTATATTATTATGCCGACAGACTACGCCTTCTGGACCTGCCCTCTCTTAAGGATCGTCGTACCTGCCATGGCGTGATGTTCCTGCATAAATTAATAAATGGATATATTTTTTCCAGTAATCTTCTTAAGCAAATACGCTTTTCAGTTCCTTCTAGGCCATCACGTTACTTTCGGCCTATAGCTTTGGATATTTGTAAAACTAATTTCGAGGCACACGATCCTTTTCGCGTTTTGTGTTCGCTTTACAACGACATGTACTCTCTTTTATATTTTGAAATGTCATTAGACTTTAACAAAAATAATATTTTAAGACACCTATCCTTGCCTCTGACCACCTGATGTGAGTCGGAGCATATCATTAAAAAACACTCCTTATCCGGTCTGAGGTAAGGATATGGATTCAAAATGGCAGATATTTGCTATTCTTAATAAATAAATAAATAAATAAATAAATAAATAAATTATTATTATTATTATTATTATTATTATATATTTTGGAAATTATATACTACAATTAAAACTTAAATTTAATAGGTTATATATTCTAATATCACATATATAGCAAAAGTTATATTTAAAAAAAATCTTTGTAAAATATAATTTTGTGTTGATTATTATACCAAACAAATTACATATTTCAATGAATTCTTAGTCAAGTTAGCTTTATTTTTTTCACTGCATCAGTAAAACAAAAATTTGCTCGTATTAAAGCAAAATAATGAAGTGAAAATGGCAACAATGTGATTACACACAGTCATAGACCCAAAGCCATAATAAATTGTTCCGTAGGAGGGAGAGGTCAGTGAGCGCGAGGGGAGGCAGGTGTGAGAGGGTGACACAGCGCACTCCAAACTGCGTCGGCGCCACTCAAAATGTTGCCAACACACACAGACACACACACACACGCAGCAGGCAACATGTTGCTAATGGCTAACTTGTTGGATGCAGCAGCAGCAGCAGCTTGCCCGCGCTTCATTAATTTCCATCCGCTTTTCCAGGGGTTGGGGAGGTAGGGAAAAACTTTTTGCGCCCGTCTCGTGATTTGTCTGGCAAACAATTTCCGAAATGCGATTGCTTAAACGCAATTCGAAAAGTTATTAATTGAGCAGGCCCGTAATGAACTCATTTACAGTTCGTAATGTGCCCCCATTACGGACACACAAGCAGGCAGCTGTGGACTCCACTCGATGGCAACATTACGCCGCGTTAAATGGCTTGTAATGATGACTCCAAGGGGTCGGGGGAAATGGGGCGGGAGGGTAAATAGGGCTAAATGTGTCCAATCACTCGAGGGTGCATTAAAGGGGGGGCGGCCAGGGACTGGGACTTGGGGGCAAGCAAATGTCAGACAGCGTTTCTCCATTTGCCAACCCCGTCTCGATATGGATATGACTGCTTCTAATGGACAATGGATACACACACACACACACTCAGTCACGATTTGTATCTTATCGAGTGTTTCGTACAGCAAAACTTTAGCCCCCAAATGGGATTTGCGAAATGACAAGTTATACTCGGACTACACGATGATAACATTTCACTCAGATTATGTTTGTTTCCAAGCAATATATACCTTAACTGCTTAATTTTGGGATTTTAGTATCCAAGTATGCTTTATGAAAGAGGGTTTTTCTTTTCACTAAAAGTTCGCGAAAGAGAGCTTGCCCGAGGAACCCATTAAAAAGGTTGTCGAAGGAGCTGTTCAATTTTATATTAATTCCATTCAAATTGCTTGTACATTGCAGGATAAGTGTGGAAACAAAATGTAGATCGAGAAAGACCAAACTATCTCGGTCTAAAATCCTTGTTCACCTTTATCCTGCAATGTACAAGCAAATTAGCAACAACAGCTTGTAAGTTTTACTCTGTGGCGAACAAAAAACACTCTCAGACCAGAAACCAAGGAGAAAATTCTATAACGAGACCATTCTCTTAAGTTTCCTTTCTTCTTTCTTTTGTCTTGGTTAAGAACCCGAAACATTTTATGGGTTAAGCTAAATATAAGATCTCTAATTCACACTTTTAAATCCTTCAATTATTTAAGACTAACCTACGTACGATTTTATATTTTTTCAGACTTCCCTTTATTCGTTTAGTACATAATTTCCAATCTTAAGTAGGCCTTGAATACAATACAATGTTCAATAAGAATTAGCCAACTCAAAATCAAACAAGACAAAGCAAAACCCAAACACAAAACATCGTATCGTTCAGTAAAGAACCATAAATATACTTTATTTTTGAGTCGTATTATTTGTTTTAGTTTACTTACGCTTTCGGCTACTTCCATGGAGGAGTATCTAAACATTGAAGAAAGAGATAGGGTCGCTAATCAACAAATTGGCGATGCGGCGGCCGGTGATGCGGGCAATGATGAACCGCACCAGCTGAGGCGGAACCACCGACGGATCTATAACGCACCCCGCGACCCTGCTCTTATCCAGGTGGTGCAAGGCTACAATGCCCTGCCGCGACCGTTGAGGCCGCGTAAGAAGCGGAGCACCTTTACCATGGCCAGAAAGGCAACGCTGCTCGACGACCTGTATCCGCCGGAGATGTCAGCGCTTTTGGACAACGCCAAGCGGGCGGCAATGCAGGCGGTCAGCGAGGAGCAGCGGAGCGAGTACTTTGCCAACTACCTCGTCGAGCACATGACCAGTCAGAATTATCCCAACGGCATGGGTCTGCCAGATCGTTGGGGTAAGTTCTAATTGGCCGTGGTCTGTGCGAGGAAGTCAGGAAGGAAGAGAGCCGGGATAAGTGTTTGCAATCAAGCTGAGTGAAAGCCAGGATTCATACAACAGGTAAATTAAATAAAAAGATATTAGAGACTAATAATCAAACCCTAAAATCTGTAGATATTTCTCCCAGGTTTCATGCCACAAAAAAATAGAAAATTAAAAAAAAATAACCCAGGGTTCCGAAGGCTAATGGTAACACAGAAATACGCTTGATTGAACTTTTATGACTTGAACTAATTTGCGAACTATCCGGACTGCTCTGAATATTTTCTCAACTCAGCAAAGGTACATATATGATCTTAACTGCCACCTGTACTTGATTTACTTACAAGCGAATGGTTAAAAAGTAGCTGTGGATTCTATATTGTCCAATAAACCAAAAAAAAAACAAGCTAGATAACTTAGTGTTTTATTCCTACAACAAAAATTCGGAAAGAAGTATCTAAAGGTTCTTAAAATAAATAAAATAAATTACCAAATATTCTTTTTACATTCCTAAAATTCTTTTAATTTAAACACAGAAACAACCATCCAAACTGTTAATAAAGCATTTACAAATCCAATAAAGACTCAATTTTGCACTCTACGCACTCATATACAAATCAAAGTTTTTTATTTGATTTGGTTGCCTGAAGGCAACCGAAAAATTCATGAAATTGACAATTAATAAACTTCAAATTGGAAGCCGCACATAACTCCACCACCTGCTCCTCCCATTCTGGGCCATCGAAAACAAAGGATTTATAGGGCACACACACGTATGGATGCCAATTGGCCACTGACAATGGCCACAATGAACGGGCGGCAACTGGTAGCCAGCAGTGTAGACAAAGGCCGGCCGAAACGGACAATTGCCCGAAGTGTAGCAAATAAATACAAAATGCAAAAGATAATTGCAATCAAAGCCACAAAATGTAGCCAAAAGGCTTATAAATTGTGGGTGGTGGTGGCGGCGGCGTCATTGGCCTCAGGGATGGGAATTTTCCCAAGGAATGGGGGACACACATTCACAGAGTGAAGGTAAACGTATTTAATTTCCTAAATGTGCTTCACATACCACACAGGCGGCACAAAAGATACAAACACACACTTTGCATTCTATATACAAATATACATTGCAGTCAGTTGCAGTTGCTGCTGCTGCTGCTGTGTTGCTCTGTTGCTGTGTTGCAATTGCAACATCAACCCAACAGCAACCCCCAAGAAGCGCTGGCAATTTACGGCCATTATTGCAACAGACTGGCAGCTTTATTATGTGCCACGCCCGCAACAAAATCACTGAGAGTAAAATTTAATTATTAAAAAGTATAAATATAAAAATATAATTAATAAATTATAATTATTTGTCAGGGTTACTAGCCTTTCGAAGATATTTACTAACCTTAGGAATACATTTTTTTAGATTTCAAGAAGGCTTAAAACTTTCTTTTAAAAATTTTAAGCTGCTATTGATGAAGTATTATCCTTTAATTTACAATTATCAAGTATTTCTTTCAGTGCTGGCAAATTTTGTGGGGCGACCCTGACAGGAAGTGTGGGTGGAGATTGCTGCTGCTGCTGCTGCTGCTGCTGCTGCTGCTGCTGCTGCCATAACTTTTTGTGGCTGCTTTTAGGCTGAGCTTTTGCATTTGCTTTTTGGCCGCTCTGTGATTTGGCGCTGCAAAATGGTAAATGGTGTGGCAAATGGTATTGGCCAAATTCAACAATGTTGTTTTTGTCGAACCGATCCGATCCGATTCGAGATACCACAGACCCACGCCCGCGCGCCTTCTAATTGAATTGAATTGCATTGCATTGAATTGAATTGAATTGAATTGATTTTCGGTTAGCTTTGTCTGCCTAATTGTTGCATTTACATGTGGCGGACACTGGCATGGGTCATTTTAAAAGCATTATATACACAGGAATAAAATTAAACAAAAGTGGGGGGCGAAGTACTAGCATTTAAAACGTAATTATGGCTTGTTGCAAGCAAGGGTTGATTAATCAACCGAATGCCACACACATCGCTGAAACGCAGAACGTGCTACAATCTGACAATCGAGTTGCAGGGCACTTCCAACCCATTCTTCTGCCATTGTTTGAGTCTCCTCTCCGAGTTGTGTATTTTTGGGGTTGTTTCCCTGGCGGGCAAATGAATGCACGAAATGTGATTGATGCTCAGCCGCTATGACCACTCTCCTCAACATCATCTACTGTTGTCCTTGGTGTCTTTGATCTATGACCATTGCAACAACCACCCAATTCTCCGCCACCTTGGCCACTGTTGAGTAATTGATTTTTAACTCAAGCCCCCAAATAAAAAGTGGCTCATGTACATTTGTACAAGTGCCTCGGTATGATTTCAATGTCGCGGCAATTCTTGTAATTTCTCCTTAATTATACATATATACACACTTAAGTTCGCATTAATTATTGTCACTGTAAATTCTCATGAAATCTCTCCCTCTCTCTGTCCTTCCCCCCTTTTGGAGAAACTCAAACTGCCCCGGATTTTGCCTACTCAGCAAAGTTTACGTACAAACAATTACAGCAACGCGGCAGAGCGCATGAACTTTAGCATAAAAATGACGACAACTTCAAATACTCTTTAAAGGGGTTTTAATGATTAGAAAATAAAAAACAATTTCGACACAGAAAAATAAATATAGAGAGTCATAAATTTTTCTAAGAAAATAAAACTATGATATGTTATTGTTTATTTAATTGTTTATTAAAAAAATAATTAAAAACTGGAATTTTAATAACAATATATAAAAATTTTAGATAATTTTGGAATTATAAAATAATATATTTATTAAATTAACAGTCGAATCTGGTTTTATTTGAAATCAACGAACCTCTTTCGTATAATTTCTTATGACTTTAAGTTAATAATAATAATAAAAATACCTAAACTTCATTATTTCATGTGTAATTCCTTATTGTTTTCCTTTAATACCCTGTCTAGAGTATCTAAGCTTCTGCATGACGTTGACTGACTTACATATTTCGTTTTTATTCTGTTGTATTTATGGGGAAACGTGTGCAGAAACTTTTCCACTTACAAACAATTCACAAGTAAAATACCTTGACTTTTGCTGCCCATGGAGAATATGGGCGGGGGTCTACTATTTTTTTTTTTTTCTTTCTTGTAGTTTTGTGAGGAGGAGGAAATGTCTGGGACTGTGACTGTGCCATTACCAAGGCTCTTATGGCCCCGCCACCGGCAGCACATATTGCACACACACAAATTGCTGGAAAATAAAGTCCAAGTACGCCAGCAACATAAACAGCAGCAGCAACATCCGCCAGAATGGCAAACTGAGCATCAGTTAAAGATACTTTTCTACATAAGAAGCGTGGGTGGGCGTGTGCATTCAGCAGACAAGACCCTCTCTTTAACCCCCCTGTTACGTTCCCCTGGAAGTCGGCTGTCTAAATACAAACGAGCGATTTGTATTTGCTAGTTGGCAACGGCAACAGCTACTTGGAACCATGGCAACATCTGCTCACAGTTTATTCTAAATAATCACACTCATCTTCAGAATCTCCCCTTTGGAGGAAGGAGTAGGAAATGAGGAAGCTAGTATCAGAAATCAAGGATAAGTTGGATAAAAAATGCAGTTAATGAAATTACTAGACTTATAGACTACCTCACTTCCTTTTGGCATCTTTTATTTCAGTGTAATAACCTAATTCCACGGTACTATATTATTCATTTCACTGCACCGACAACCGACAGGAATTTGATGGAATTTCCTGTAAACAGGCAACAGCAGCATACAGAACACACAGTCTATACGCTATGCCTAGAGAAGGGGACAGGACCAGACACAAGACAGACAAAACTCGTATAAACAGGCTTATGAGCTGCTTGCAGGGAATTGAAGGAAGGTCTATTGGCTTGTCCCAAGTCTTGTTGCTCTTTGTTGTTGCCTTTGTTGCCATTGCCATTGCCGGTTAAGCAAACAGACCAAACGCCACCACAGACAATCAGAAAGGCATTCAGCCAGAGAGAATGCCGAACACCAGCAGCAAAGCATAGCAAAAACACAGAGAGACACATATGCAGAGTTTTATATTTCATCCGAATTTTTTAATTTTTATACATATTTTAGTAAATATCTGGCTTAAATGGCATCTGCTTCAACTTGTTAGCATGTTAACAACAAATCAAAAGTCCCACAAAGAACTTGAGAAATGGTTTACTTGATCTGGGCAACACTTTTCCATAAATGCTTTAAAACTATGTATATTTTCGTAGTAAAATACTTGTGAATAAAAAGAAACTTAGTCGGAGAAATAGAGTGAAAGTAATTGGAATTTACTCGTAAATTCATTGGTGAATAAATGCTTTCAATTTATTGACGTATTTCAATTTGGAAAATCAATTTGTAATAAGTTTTATGGTATTAATTTATTGGGCAATTTTTAGTTGCATTTTTACGGATTCGTTTTAATTTTCTTTGCAGATTATTCAGACTAGATCATAGTGACTTGCATTTAAAAAATGTTTAATGTACTATAATCCAGTAGAAAAATAATAAAAAACTTTATCCTGTAGATAAATCAATATTAAGAATATTTAAAAAATTTAAAAAATAAATATCAAATCATAAATGCAACAATTTAATATTTGAATGCTTCAATAATATTCTCATAAATCTGATGAATTTTGCATAGGCCACAATTGATTTGCATATTTCATTCGAGAGCCCGCAAAATACTCAACGAGATATGGCCCCAAAAACGATGCGACAGTGAATTCTCTGGGTGATTCAGCTGGCATTTTGCGATCTTAATTAATGGCAATTTGTGATTCCGCCTCGCTCCGTCTCGGTTTCTGGGTAAGGGAGAGAGATGGACAGATGGCTGGCTGGCCGGGCCATTAACACATTTTAATCTGCCGTTGGGCGAATGGCTTTTGTGTGGTTTGGAGGAGGTATTCGTATTCGTATTCGTATTCGGAAGCTGGGAGCTGGGAGCTCCTCCGGGCCCCAAAAGCTGGCGCTCAGTCGCTCTTAATCATCAGCATAAGCAATAATGGGAAACAATTGCCATCTGCCGGCTGCCTTTTGCCATTGCCGTTTGCCGTTGCTGTTGCTGTTGCTGCCACTGAAATTGCTGAGCTGAGGCACAAACTTTTATTGCATTGCCATGTCAACAGTCGGAGCAAAAGCAAAAGCAGCAACAACAAAAGCAGAAGCAAAAGCAACAGCATCGCCCGGCAATTGCAATCTGTGTGTGTGCCATTGCACTTAAAATGCGAATCCGAAACCGACGGCGAATGCGAATGTGAATGCGAATTGTGACGCAAAATGAAGCTACTTCTGTGCCACTCTCAGATACAGATATGGTCAAAAAACCAGTGATGTCATTAGGTTACTTCAAAAGACAAGAGAATGTTGCAAGG